GGGAAGGTTCCAAACCCCCTTCCTGACAGGAGCCCGTGCGGGCTGTTCCGGGAATGCAGCGGTGCGGCCGGGCTCTCCCATTGCCTCCTGGCCGCCTTCTGCCCGGTGGGATTCGCGGGCCCCGAGCTGTTCCGGGCCGCAGCCGTTATCCCTCTCGCCCCCCGGGAGCGGCGCCTCTTGTGCGGCCTCTCGGCAGGGCCTGTGCGGGGCTCAGCCCCGGGGAGGCCCCGCTGAAACGGGGAGGAACTGTCAACAGTTAATCATGGCACATGACTTCGGGGTCAGAATGGATCTATTTTGCTCATCCCGATTCTCTGCTGCTGCTACAGACGTTCAGCTTAAGTATCATGTGCCAAGGGCTACTCTGGAATGTGAATCCTGACTGTGGGAGCTGCCGTGAGGGCAGTTACACTGCTGTAAATCCCACCTTTGTGCCTCAAATAAATGGCTTGCTGTGGTGAACACTGCCTGCCTGCTGCAGTGATCTGGTCCATGTTGGGGTTTTTTTAGAGTAATTTATTTAGAAGGATTTATGGATTCTAGCTTCAATTACTTCTCCCACAGCATTTGTGGCTGTACATGAGAGTTCTGTTGTATTTCTTAGCGCCAACACGGTTTGTCCCTTTTGCCACCCAGCAGGTCCGTAAAGGCAGGGGTAAAGAACACAAATTGGACAGGAAAGGAACACAAATTGTCAAATATAATCATAGACTATGCTGAGTTGGAAGGGACCCAATCAGGATTATAGAGTTCAACTCCTGTCCCTGTGTAGGGCACCCCAAGAATCACACCATGTGCCTGAGAGCTGCAGACAGATTGTGTCCATGGCTGTGGTGGGAATGAAGCAGTGTTCATCTGTTTGCACTTAGAAGTTTTCTGACTCTTTGAGTCACAAAAGCATGAAAAATCTTAGAGAGGAGGACAAGACTGGGAGGCTGAGGTCTTTCTGCACTTATCAGCACTGATATGATAGGGGATTTTGTCCCTGGTGCTCATCTAGGCAAGAGCTTCAGCTGACATATCATCCCAGTGCTGAAGCTTAATGCCATTTTGGAATATTCAGATGTTAGAAAGTGTGAGTCCTTGGCTGTGCTGTGTAGACTTATTGCTATGGTGAATTCTGTCTTTAGCATGCATTTCATTTATTCTTTTTAAAAACTGTTAGACACTCAGAAGGCAACACTACAAAACTGGCAGGTATAAAAGGTGGAAGAATAAAATCCACGACAGTTGGACTGGAAGAAGTGGCACTAATGCCAAGTAGTTTTGGAAACATTACCTAAGATACTGTCCACCCAGCTGTTGGTGAAAGTGTTTGCTTTTTCACTTTGCTTTCCATGAATCTTAATCCTCAGCATATCATCTACTTAGAATTACTAGGACCTCATTTCAAAAGTGAGGTAGGTAAGGACTCAGGTGTTGGTGCAATAACGTCCCTTCACCCCAGGCAAGGCAGGACAGCGTGGCACCCTGTAAGGCCTCCCTGTCCTGGCTTTACCTCCTGCTAAGAATATCAACATGAGCTGCCAGTGCACAGAGTGCTTGGGAGCAGCTTGTCAAGGCGTTAGTTGCTCTTGTTTCACTTGGATTTTTATACCAGTTCAAGATAGGAAATTTAAAGCTGCAATATTAACTTCTAAAAATCCTGTTGGTGTGGTAAAATGGCATCTCTGTGTTTTCTATTCTTGCAGGTTTCTCGATTGCTAGGTGCTTTCAAAAACCAAAAACAGGTGACCAGAAGTTTTAGTAGTGCTGTGAGTATAATAGTTCCATTTTTTTCTTTTAAGAAGTTTCTCTAGAAAGGGATTCAGAAATTTCTAAGATGGCCGTTGTTATTTTTAATTGCAACGGCCTCAATAACTGGACATACATGCTCTTAATACCATGGTGGATGTATATTGGTTAATTGCTGTCTTTGCAGATTAAAGCCTAAGTGCTGATAAAAAAGGCTGTAGCAAAAGACAGAAGTGGCATGAAAACTTCTCACAAAATACGGACACAAACCAGTCTTGTGGAACTTATCTGGAAATGGGCAAATATTGGGCCCAGCAGAAAAATTGTTGAGAAACTTCTCATTCTATTTTGCAGACTTTCTTCTAAGCGCTAGATTTACTTTATTGCTGCTTTTAGAATACCTTACATCTGAAGTTCTGCCTTTCTAAAGCCTTCTTTAAAGTATTTTTAAAGTATATTATATTATATTATATTTTTAGATTTAAAGTATATTATATTTTAAAAGTATATTATATTTATATTATATTTAAAGTATTTTTTGATTGTGTACTTCCTTGTAAATGTTTTACCTTCTTCATGTGTATGGGTTTGAAGTGCCCATAGGCCTTTTTTTCAGCCTTGAAAAGTGCTCTGGCAGAAGCAGGGCTCAGCACCACTGCATATACCCTTAAGGAGGACTTAATTTTAAAGTGGAATTGTGGCTTTTAATTATAAGTTGGGTAGAACCAGCTAGAAAAGAAACTGAAGGGTGGCTCCTATCTTATACAGTGTCAGGTTCAGAAGTTGAGGCACCTGTGGTTGTGTTTACACCACAACTGTGGCTCAGGTGGAGTCCTGCTGTGCTGTGACAGCACAAAACAGACCTGGAGGCATTCCATTACTGCTCAACAGCAGTGTTCTGTCACCTGAAGCTCTGCTTCTTTTGTTGTGCACAGTGAATTTCGTTGGCTCAAACAAATTTAAAAATCAGTAAATAGATATATACAGTCTAAATATTTTATGTGGAGAGCAAAACGTATCTTGTGAGTTGATTCTAATTGGGATTTTGCAAATAATGCTGTGTCTGACCTGCCTTTCTTGTAGGCAATAGTGAGCCTTAACAAAGCCACTGGCATGCTTCAATAAATAAATAAATAAATAAATGAAAGAGCTGGGGCATGTTTGATTAGAATAGTGTGCATAATTGGTTTTTTTAATCAAAGCAGATTACTTTCTTCCCCTTTTATTCAGGCAGCCTGGGCTGTGCAATGTATTTCATCTGATGATAATAAAAGAAAGACTAAGAACATTATGGGAGGAAAATAACTTGGTATTATTAAAAATGGGTCTGAGGTTTTTAGGAAGTCACTTAAGTTTACATGTAAGTTCAGGTGAATGGAGTTTTTAATAAATTTAATCTTTTCTAGCATGTATCAGTACTATGCAACAAGTTTATGATATTGGAGACATAAAGGTAGGTCATATTATCTCCTCTACAAATTTCAAGAAGCAAGCATGCTGAGATCTTTCATTTCAAGGACCATTGAGCATGAACCTGCCTTTCAGGTTAACCTTCTGTGTTTTGAAACAGGAATAGATATTAGACAGATTTTTAAACAACACTCTCAAAAATATTTGCACAGTCCCTTTGAAAGGAAGTTAGTCCTTCCTGCTTCTGTCCACTACTATTGTTCTTCATAGTGAACAAATAGTAACTGAACACTGATTTTCTGGTAGTTACTTGGTTCCTACAACACCTGAGAATGTTTTCTATGTAGAAAACAAGCATTTATTTGTTGTACTACTGATATTTTTCTACCTAGGTACAAACAGTAACTTTAATCCCAGGAGATGGCATTGGACCTGAGATTTCTGCTGCTGTTGTGAAGATCTTTGATGCTGCCAAAGTAAGTCAGATTTGTCTTGCTGTAAGCATTGCAAGTTTAACTACAGCAAGTATTAACTAGGCATATTAAAAATATTTTATCTTCAACTTCCAAAAGATCAAGTCATGTTTAAGCTATTCAAACTTGCAGATAGTAGAAAGAGTTTGAAGCTTCAGCTTATAAAAGATAGGATTGCAATATCAAGGCAGGATTTGAAACTGGTTAGATGGCAGAGGAGTAGAGAGTTGAGAGCAAATGTTGTGTTTCATTTTTGGAAATAGGAGCTCAGTATATCATGTGAAATCACCTTGTTGGTGTCACAGGCTGGAGCAACTGATGGAAGGTCTTTCATTGTGACTTCAAGTGCAGACAAGAAGAGTGTGTAAAAGGCCTGGCTTATTTGTGGAGATCAAACTGCTGCACTGCCAAACGCATTCACTTAAATGATACAAAAACTAAATATATCCAAGAACTGTTTTACTGTCTTGTTTCCTTGAAAGGAAATAGAGCTCTTGAGGAAAGATGCCTGTTAAATTGTTCCACATCAGTAACAGCACCAAGGTGTTTTCCCACTGTAATACAACTTTCCAACTTAGATTTGAAAAACGTGAAGTTCTCTTCAATTATATAGGAAAACCTTAGAATAGTTTTGTTTGTTTCTGGGGAGTCAAGCAGGAGGTGTGGAGGCATAAAACCTAAGTTTGTGTGTGACTGCATGTTTGCAGTATTGAATCAGATGTTTGTTCTAAGGAGGATTTTCTAGTATGTTACACTTAGATTGATTCTGTTTGTTTATGAAGCTCCTTCCTGATGAAAGGGATGAGTAGGAGCCTGTCCCATTAGAAGATTTTTGCTGTGAATGCAAATTCAGGAAGCAATATGGAGTACTTGCAAATTTTCAGTTAGATAACAGATATGTATCTGTGTTGTCTTCCAGGCAGTATGGATGATGAGCTCTCAAGGAATTCAGTCTTCAAATGTGTTGTCTGTTGTATACAAAGAACTAAACAGCTTTAAGAGCTTGAAAGAAGCAGTGATTATATTGTAATGCTAATGATTTCTGTATATGTGACAACTCAGGAGGCATCTTATGGTATTCATGTTTATGATGATGTTGCTCAAATTATTTTCTTTTCACTTAATTACATTTTAAGAAAACATTTGATTTTAAACATCTCATGCCTGCTCTCAGTCACCAGAGATCAATTGTTTAGGAAGGTCTGATCAAAATTTCTTGTGCACCTTTTTGTGAAAGGGAAGATAAAGCTTGAAAGAAAAAAGTGATGACATCTAAGTTAACATAGATTAAATGTGTTTAGGCTCCTATTCAGTGGGAAGAGAGGAATGTTACAGCTATCCAGGGACCAGGAGGGAAGTGGATGATACCTCCAGATGCCAAAGAATCCATGGATAAAAACAAAATGGGATTAAAAGGTACTTTAGGGGTTAATACAAAGATACTACACACTGTTGTTCTTAGTGTGAGTCTGATTTAGAGCCAAAGTCCTTCATCTGTAGCACAATAAAATGGCTAATTACAGGGGACAGCCTGTCAAGTAGTCTTCTGTAATCTTTAATCAGTACTTCCTTTCAAAGCCATAACTTCCATAGATATTCTAGGAATTATGTTAAAGGCAGGTATTATTACAGACCAACCTTTGGACTCTATGGAGAATGCCTTTCTAGTCCAGTTGATATTCAATAGTACGTGCTAACTATATTGCTAGTATTAGCTTTTAAATGTTGTTTTTAGTGAAAACCTTTTGTAAAAACTCCTATTCCATCTAAGGGTCACAGCTGGGCCTGTATCACTGTGTAGCACACTTGATAGCACAGAATTCCCAGGGCATTTCAGCCTAAGGGCTGAATAGGAATCTGGAGATCCTCTAAGGTGAAACTCTAGGTAAAGTGGTTCTCTTACACAGGATCTCCTAAAATTCATGGAGGGGTTTATCTTCTCTGTCATTCTTGTGGGTTTTTAAATTTTTTTCCCCCCATTGTTTTCCTGCCTGTTTTGCAGGGCCTCTGAAGACTCCCATTGCTGCAGGGCACCCCTCCATGAATCTGCTGCTGCGTAAAACCTTCGACCTCTACGCGAACGTGCGCCCGTGCGTGTCGATCGAAGGCTACAAGACCCCCTACACAGACGTGAACATCGTCACCATCCGGGAGAACACGGAAGGGGAATACAGTGGGATTGAGCACGTGGTATGTCCCTGGAAGTGGTGTGTTTGTGCTGGGTTTCCTGGAATGGTAGCTTGCCCATCTCAAGAGGCCTCTAGTACTAAGGGGTTGGGTGGTGGTAGTTTTCTACGCATTAAAAAGTTACTTTATTATCACAGAGTCACAGAATTATTGAGGCTGGAAAAGCCCTCAGATCATCAAGTCCAGCCTATGACCTGACACCACCACATCAGCTAGACTACGGCACTATGGCACTCAGTGTCTTTCCTTAAACACCTCCAGGGATGGTGACTCCACCACTTCCCTGGGCAGTCCATTTGAATGTCTAATCACCTTCCTAATATCCAATGCAAACTTCCCCTGGCGCAGCTTCAGGCCATGCCCTCTGTCACTGGTTGCCTGTGAGAAAAGCCCAACCCCCACCTAACTACAACCTCCCTTCAGGTAGTTGTAGAGAGTGGTAAGGTCCCCTCTGAGTCTCTTTTCCATCTTAACAACCCCTTCTCCTGCAGTCTCTCCTCAAAAGACTTTCCCTCTAGTCCTCTCACTAACCTGGTTGCTCTATTAAGCAATGCATTGCCACGACTGCCTGACTCAGAGTTGTACTACTTTGTTCCAGTCATACTAGTCATATAGACTTGGAAAATGAGCTTACACTTCTACCAATGCAACTATTGTCTTTCAGATTGTTGAAGGTGTTGTGCAGAGCATCAAGCTGATCACAGAGGAAGCGAGCAAGCGGATTGCAGAGTTTGCTTTTGAGTATGCCAGAAACAACCAGAGAAGCAACGTTACTGCTGTGCACAAGGCAAATATTATGTATGTTGACACTTCTTTTGGAGAAGAACAACAAATAGTAATGGGCATTTAATCACAAGTAACTTTTGAAATCATCCTCAAGCATGTAAATTGTGTGGATGCTTGTGGGAGTAAGTAAAATGGGCAATACTGACCAATACTGACCAATTACTGATAGGGCTGTCATAATTACATACTAGTGTTTTTATTGGCAAGTTTGTAATAATCCTGTGGTTCTCCTTAAAAAGCTCTTATTTTAAAAATAGTCTTAAACAGGAAAATGAATTGTAAAAGGGAGGATGAAAATGGCTAGCTTCTTTTACATCTTCCAAGCTACCTAGTACTGAGCTGAGTCAAAACACGTGGCATTATGTGACACCACCTTTACACACTCAACAAGCCTGAGAATTAATGTATGTCTGGTAAACTACTGAAACAAACATATTCTAGGAGAAAATGTGAAAGGCATAACTGCTCTGACTGTAATATATTAAAAATATTATTTATATTTAACATGAGGGATAACTGGTCTTAAGTTACTGCACTCTAATATTTTTATGTAATCCTGTTGCATGCAGTTTTCTTTATCTTCAGTATTGCTTACTTACATAACTGCAATATCCTCGTGCTTATTTAATTGCAGGAGAATGTCTGATGGGCTTTTCTTGAGAAAATGCAGGGAGGCAGCAGAAAACTGTAAAGATATTAAATTTAATGAAATGTATCTGGATACAGTGTGTCTGAATGTGAGTATTTCTGTGGTTTAATTGTGGTTATTTTTTAATTTAAATTCTTAACCATAATGAAAATATACTTCTTTCTAGATGGTTCAAGACCCATCACAATTTGATGTGCTTGTTATGCCAAACTTGTATGGTGACATCCTCAGGTATGGAAGTCTTAATTCAAACTAACCCAACATGTAAAATACTGTTCCTTTCCAGACAGCTTTTCAGGTTATATGCCAGCCAGATGGGTGATGATTTTATGCATCCAAGAGTTTAAAACTTTATAAATCAGGCTTTAATTGGGAGGAAAGGATGGTATTATTAAATTATTAATATATTGTTGGGAGGGACTATATATAGAGAATGTGCTTCTTATTGGAAAAAAAAAAATGGGGCAGAAATTTCTCCCAATATGTGAAGAATTTAACAGCTTAAATTGTAATAACGAATGCTTAGTTAGATATTGGAGAAAAACTTCCTGACCTTAAGCACTAAAACAGATGGTTTAAGATGACTGTGGGGCCATGATGTTTACAGCAAGCTAACCACACAGTTCAATGATTCTGTACAGACACTGAAGAAAAAAATTATGTGACCTGAATATCCTTCCAGCTCCTGCTTTATGTTTGTCCTTTCCTTCAAATAAAATTTCATATTTGAATAACATTAATCCTGGAGGTACCCGATGTCTTGAAATCCATAAGCATCCATTTTCCATTCTCTAAAATGTTTAGGTTGAGTGTAAACTCAATTAAATACTGCATGTAAAATTAAGTATCTTAATCTGAACTTCTAAGTGTATAACATAACATGGCTTCTTTTTGCATCACTGAGGAGAGACTGATAAAATAGCTGGAATCAGAAATTATTTAATAGTTCAATGATTATTTGCATCTTAGAATCCATCTCCTGGTTTTGTACAGATAATAAATGTAAAGGTGACTTACATATAAGAAGAAATGCTTGTTAAGCTGCTCTTAAAATGGCACTCCCTCCCTGATAAGGCTGGCTGTAACCTCTAAGGAAAGTCAGAGCCCTTGTTGCTTTCTGCTTTGGCAGAGGAGTCCACAGGGCCCTCACAGCAGCTGTTAGGCTGTTAACTAAAAGAAACCAAATCAGATGAGTCCCATCATCAGTACTATTTAAATTCACTTTACCTGGTTCAGTAGCCCAAATTTTAACACTGGGGAAGGTTTTACCCACAGAGGTTTTTTAAATGGTGAACACATGCCAAACAGGTTTTTTGGCCTGAACAGGTACAGAAGGAAATCTCTTATCTTGAAGCATTAAATGCCTACAGTGAGAAATGCAGACTGTAGTTTTTCCCCAGACTATGCAACTAAAGCTAATTGGTTTATTTTAGCTTGAACTTAAAATACTGTTCTGCAGGGTCACCCAGACTTTTCTGCTTGTTCATCCTTGATTAACTAAGTTGTAGGGAATAAAACAGTACACTAAAATAGCAAATTTTCAGGAGCTTTGTTTACCAGTGTGTTCAGCTTTGAGGGTGGAGTATGGTGACTATAGTCAGAGTTGGTTTGTTCTTCCCCATGTTAATTTTGGAGAAAATCCAATGCAGATTGCTTAGGTCTGATGATCTGCTAGTGCCAGACCTGTGACTTGGGGGCTGCTCAGTAAAGAGGGGGAAAGCTGGTCTGGGGTTACCTGGAACATGTTCCTTAAGCTACATGCAATAAACTGCTAGTAACTCATCTTCCCAAGCAAAATTCTTTCACATTTTTTAGAAGGACGTGACATATGAAAAGTAGTTCTGTGGCCTCTTCAGAGGAAATAAGACTTCTGGATGCTTTCAGGGAACTGTACATTACCATTTTTGCTACTTTTTGAGACTTGCACAGGTATTTCATACATTGAGTACCCTTTGTTGTGCCTATGTCTTAATCAGCTTTATTGTAATATTTGGAATTTCATGTTCACTTTATTAAATTGTCTCCTGCTAGTAATTCTACACATTTTCAAATGCTCCAATCTAGTACAAGTGGCAAGCAACAGCTGTTCTTTCCCAATATTATTCTCAGATAGTGTGGATATATAAAATAAGTTACTGTTGTAATAAAAAGAGAAACAAGAATATTTTAATATCTTGCAGAGAGGCAACTGTAGATAGAAAAACTTGTGAGGTTTTCTTTTTGGGTTTGTTTTTTTCAGTGACTTGTGTGCTGGACTGATTGGGGGTCTTGGAGTAACACCAAGTGGAAATATTGGTGCTAATGGAGTTGCAATTTTTGAATCGGTGAGTCTTCTTATGCAAGGTTTAGTAGGAATCATTACTTTGTAACCTGAAACTCTTCAATGAGGCTGTCATTGAACCAAGTTCTCCTTAGAACTATTTTTAGTGTGAAGATGCTGAAGCTTTACCCAGAGGGAATAGTTAAAGGATGTATTACTCATAGTTTTTTGCGTGTCCTTTTACTGACACTTTGTTTTTCCTCTTTTTTGCAAGATAAATACCCTCTGGGAAACAGAACTTGAGGGGCACAACTGGGAGATATTAGGTGACCTAGTTCCCCCTTCCTGATGCCTTTGAACAGAATTGTTCTGGGCTTTCCTATCTCTTTTCCACTATCTGTATCACAGTGAAAAGAAGTCCTGTTTTAAAATGCAAATCTTATTTTAACACGCTTGTGCCTGTTTCAGGTTGCTTGCATATGTTTGAATTGCCTAGGACATTTTAATCAGCATACTGACATCCTAACAGATGGGTTCTTTTATTTCTAGGTTCATGGGACAGCACCAGACATTGCAGGAAAAGACATGGCAAATCCAACTGCCCTTCTCCTGAGCGCTGTGATGATGCTGCGTCACATGGGACTCCACAATTATGCCACAAAAATTGAGACAGCTTGCTTTGATACCATTAAAGATGGAAAGGTAATATGGGGGGGTGAAAATAAATGCAGTGAGCTAAACTCCTATTCTGTCACAGCAGACATGAACAGCAGAACAGTGGCTGTAGCCTGCTGGCTTGATGTATGAGCAGTGCTGCTGTCCTCTGATAATTATCATCTTTGGTGGTATTAAATCTGCCCAGCTCAGTAGCTCAGTTACAGCCTGTAACATTCCTTATGGCTCAGTAATGCTCATTCTACATGTCCACAGCTCTGTTAACTCTAAAACCCACTTCTAGAGGTCTGCTTTTCATGAAGGGAATTAGAGGCTTAAGTAACTAGTGGTATTTCACTTGTGAAGTTTACCCTTTACCCTGCATACAAAGCATATATATTTAAATCTGGATCCTGAAGTGAAGGACACTCATTTGCCTTTCACAGGCTTAATAATCCACTTCATTTATAGGATGTCATGTCCTGACTGTAATACATCTGTGCCTGTTTTTTCAGGTTAATTATTTTCTTTTTTTCCTCTTAACTGCTATCACTCCTTTTTGGACAGATTTTATCCAGTATTTACTTTTTCCCTTAGAATTGTATGTGATTCTCCTTTGGCAGTAAGTGTCTCCAGATTTGAGACTCAAATTCTGGGGGGGCTTATCCTCTGAAACCTGACTTGAATTTGTGCCCTTAACATTACTGGTTCACTCATCTACCTTGATGCCCACCTTTTCTAAACAAAGCTGGAAAGATCCTGAAGGTTGCAGTAAAGAGGATTAGCAGTTAGCCATGCTGGTTCAGTTATCTTGGGCAGGAGCATAAGCAGCTGCTTTGTAATTATCAAGTAACGAGCATTCTTAAACAAAAATTGTCATCATTTCATCAGTGGTCTGTTTGCAGCTTACTGTGCATAGGAGCCAGTTTAAAAAAATCTAAACTTACAAGTGAATAAAGAGGTGCTCCTGTAAAGTTCCCATTTACTGCTCTGGAAATGAAACCCTCCATCTGCAGGTCAGTAATTCTATGGAAGATAACAGTGCAACTTTTGTGACATGGCTACTTGTTTACTAGTTACTTACAATGTTATCATGACATGCTCAAAACTGAGAGAAACTTTTTAAATTGAAAAAAGCATAATGCAAATGACAAAATCCTAAAATAGTAACCCTGATTGCCTCCCACGCTTGCTATTTCTCCTTTTCCTCCCTCCCCCCAGCCCTTTGATTAAGGTATCTGGGTGTAGTAAATTGGGGAAAACTAAATTAGCTCCTAGACTGCTTTAATCTAGCCAGGATGAACAAGCAGTGTTGTCCAGTTTTTGGGTTTTTTGTGATTTTACTGTCTTCATGCTGCCAGACAGATGCTGAACTTGATGAAGTTTCTTTTAACTCTGCATTTTTCCATCCCTTAACTAAACTCAGCAAACTTAAAGGACTGCTAACATGGAGCATTAAGACCTGTGTGTGCTTCTTCTGTGGGGACAACCTTAGTGAATTACTCCATTAGTTGCCTTTGTGCTGAGCCTTCATAGAGGAATTTTACTTCCAAAGGACAAACTTCTTTTTGGAGATTTAAATACGTGGCAACTAATTACACCATTATATGGCCAACAGACTTTACAGAGAGCTCTGGCCAAATGCACTTTCTTCCTGGAATTAAGACAAAACCATGTTCAAATCTGATAAGATACTTGAGGATACTCTGGTTTTCTCTATCTGCTTCAGCCTGCACAGTCCTTACTGATGAAGGCTAGATGGGATGCGGAAAAACTCCAAATTGATTTATTCCTTCTCACCCATAGTTGGTATTCCTACATCAGATATAACATACAGAATTGTGCAAAGACTACTCATCAAACACTTTATAGTAAGGTTATTCTTGTTCTCTTTCAGGTCTTGACAAAAGACTTGGGAGGCAATGCCAAGTGCTCAGAGTTCACAGAGGAGATCTGCCGCCGGGTACGGGATTCGGACTGAACCTGCTCTCCCTGCTTGGAACAACTCCAAAGGGACACATCACTCCAAGTACATTCTGTGTAACCTGATATCCATATGCAAAGAGTTTGCTTGTCTCTGAAGACAGCCAACTTTTTTTATTTAGGGCCTCTCCATCAATAAATTCAGTCCGTGTGGCTACAAAATGATGCTTGTGCCTGCTTTCAGTAGACTTGAAATGCTTTTGTCTTATTTATTTATTTCTATCTGGTGAACATTTTTATGTAAGTGAATTCTTTTGTTGTCACTGTAACTGTCTACCATTTTCCATTGCAACTAGAGGTTTTTACTTTCCACAGAGAAAAATTATGCAAATAAACCAGTAACAGAATTAGTGACATTTAAAAAAGCACCTTAATGGTTAAAACCTACTTTAGTGATCTTACTGAAATTCAAAAGGTAGATTTTCATCCTAAGAGTAGCACAAGAGGACCTTCATCAACAGAAACGGGTATAAAATAACTTAAAATAGCAATTTCTTGTTAAAAGCAATGAAAATAACACTTTACATACTCTGGTGATTCAAATAGAGCCTTGCCCTCCAAGGGCAAGAATGAAGAAATACAAAAATCTAGATATTTAATCTATCTGTGTATTTTTTTAAAAGCCCACAACCATTAATCAGCAAGGGATGAGAAATAATGTTTAAGTAAATTTATTTTTCAAATCTATATACCAAAATAATTCCTCAAAGTTTTCCTCTCTGAAACAGACTTTACAAGAGTACTAATGAGAGTAAATTGCACAAAATTACTTCTACCATATATTGTGAGGGGAAAGTACTAACTTTGCAAATTTATACTAAATATTTCATGACTTCTGCTAGAATGCTTTTTGTGCTGTACTTTTGTACACAGTCTGTTCAGCCTTTCTTGATGTATTGACTAGTAATTTTATTCTAGAAACTCTGAATGTAAGCAACTAGTCCTAACTGATTCAAGACAGATTGAAGGTTTGGCTCTGGTGCCTATGTTCCAGAAATACATTTCATCCCTATTCAAGGAAATCTGAGACTACTTTTTCCCTTCTTACTAAGCCTAATGGGTGCAAAAGCAACTCTTTCTCTCCCATCTTCATCACATGCAGATAGTCAGGAGTCATTCTGATCTGTATGTCTTAAGGTATCCTTCCATTAGTACACCTTACAAGAAAATGTGTATTTTTAAATTCATGACTATAGCACAGGATTAGCCCTACTGCCAGAACCAGGCTTCTTAAAGCTTAATTCTATTAATAGATATTACTCCACTTAGTTATGTTCTACTAAGACTGTCTAGGCTGGTTGTTTCAGAAATTAAATCAATGTTGAGTAATAACTTCTGGTGTCACTCTATGAAGTAAGCATGCCAGCTTTTTTAAGACAGTCTAACAACATGTTGGAGAAGGGACAATGAGCATTATTCCTTGTGCATTTGGCCTTTGGTGAATAGGGCAGTATTTCTGTGTTCCACAAGCTCCTGCTTCCTTGTTTCCTTCAGATTAATACTGTCAAAAAACTCCTGGATTATTATTACGCACAAAATGGGGAAAATAAACTTTTCCAAGTCCTAATGCTTCTCTTGTTTTTGTAATCCTAGGCTGCTACCTTTTCTTATGTGTTGAGCTGATCATTGGTACTCCCAACAATATAAGATGATTAAGACTGGTAATGGAATTTTCATGGATACAATATCCTGTTCTGCATGATTGTTTTCATCAAGAGCAGTGGCTGGAGCCTGCCTGCTTGTGCTAGAAATTGTAACCCTTTGCCAAAGATAACTAACTAACAGCAAATCCTTTATACAACTTTCTGTCAAGTATGTTCTTCACATAATATATTTTATATGGGGAAGAAGAAACGCAGCTCAGATTTGTCAGGACCATTATAATGTAAATATGGAAACATGCAGAGATGCTTTGACAAACATTTCTAAACTCTTGCTTAAAAAAAGTGCTGTGAAAAATTTTAAAGTTTCTGCTCTAAAGCACTGGAATGTGAAAGCACCTGTATTTCCTATTTTCTGTCTTTGGGGAGTTATTCCCCCAACTAATTGTTTTTAGGAGAAATAGTAATACTTATTTCTACATGGATTTAACAAGTGATGAACTGCTGTTTTCACAAAAGTCTGAACTCTAGCCACTGTAACAACAGAAGAGGAATGTCTTCATGTTCTGAAACGATGTGTTAGTAAACTAAGAGAAACTGCTCTGTGGAAGGGAAAAAAAACCAGGCCTTTTGATTTTTTAATTTTTTAATTGCTACCTTTATCACTGGAGTGGTTTAACATTTTCAGTAAGCAGTGCTGCTAATTACTGATCTACAAAATGTATTATGAGCTACAGGGAGCATTCCGTAGAACAAAGAAAAAAGAAAGAAAATTCACTATAGAAAAAAATCTTTGTCTGTCAGTCTAGAGGAATCATTTATACAGTATAAGGATGTTTTTAATCATTACTTAAGTAATAAAGTAAAAACCAGTATTAGAAAATGGACACACTGTGTAGATGTTTCTGTAAAAAGAGGACAAATGATGAGGTGAGTATCAGGAACAACTACATGGCAGTTTTCTAGTGGTTCAGTTCAATAGACTACAAAACCAAAACAAGCATAAATCTTTGTTAATGCTTTTGTTTAGGAAATACTTTCTTTAGCTCACAGATCTTAATGCTTGGATGGAAGACTTCTTATTCTTCATAGAAGGAGTCTACTTCATGTCTGTATTTCTCCAGCACAGTGAGCCGTTTTAACTTCATTGTCGGACCTTGAAAGAGGGAGTTAGTCACAACAGCAGAAATACAAACAAAAAACTCCTGCTCAGTTTGAGCTGTGGTTCCTAAGACTGTCTGTTGAAGAGCTTGTTCTAAAGAACATCTCCCGCCCTAAGTGTAGATACCTGCTAAAAGTGAGAAGCAAGCATGGTGTGTAAGGCTGCCTCCACATAAGTGTGAAGACTTCAAAGGAGCTCAAATAAGAGAGATGACTGCCTACTACTTTTTTTCATTCAAATGAATTAAAAGGATGATGTTTTTGAAAGCTTTTAAACAGTTCCCTGTTTATTCAGGGTCTGATAATCTGTTTGGGACACTGCTGTCAGGTTTTCAGTCTTGCTCCTCTTAATTTATATGAGAAATTTTCAGTTTTACTTACTGGAAGTTATGAATATTGTAATGCACAAGGAACTGAACAGAACTGATGGTTTAATTGCCGAAAGCTATATGCAATTTAACTATAGAGCTGTACTTGTAAATAAGCACAGACTGATAGATATGTACCCAGCAATACCTCATTTTTTTGTATTCTAACACATTCTGCCTAATTCTTTTTCTCCTTTTCCTCTAGTGGCCGTACCCAGAATTTGCCACACAAAAATATTTCAGTACTCTTGACATCAGCAGCCTCTTTCCTGTGTGTATTAATTCAGGATAACTCAATAAATCTTACCTAGTTCTCCCCCAGAGATGGAAAAATCTCTTGGCAGGACTATCCATTTTTGAATACAATGAACCCTGTTAGTAGCATTCATGTTGACTTTGTTGATTCCCTCCTGAATGGCCTGGTAGATTGCCTGGTCTCTTGTAGCTACAATCTCTGACACTTTGGTGGCTTTACTGCCAGTCTTCTGGCAGAAGTCTCTTGCTTGCTCAGTGAGAATGTCAGTGGGATCAGATGTATCTGGGTCCAGCACACTCTAAAACATCAAATGAAGTAAATCATCAAATGCTGACACTTACAAGGCATTAAATGTTTCTCTGATCAGGTCCTCCCCTCAGCATCAACACCCAAACATTCTGTAAGGCTTAAAAAGCAGAAACACCTACAGATGATAGTGCTTTTCGTTCTACTTGGCTACCAAATGCAAATGTTTTTTGGCTTATATGCAGATGACATGAACAGACTTAAAACATGTCAATGAATTGGGCAATAAAGTCCATCTATAGACTGAATTTCTACCATATTTTCCCAATTACTCCACAGCTGCAGGGGAACTTTTAGCTCATAGTTTAATTGAATAACCATGGGGTAATGCAAATAGCATAAAACAAGCACTCTTTGAAGTTAAACTTCTTAAATTAGTATCTCTATTGTATTGTACCTGGAGACAGGGAGTGTCAGTCCTAGAGGTAAACAGCTTGAGATGTTTATATAAGTATGTAATACAGAACATGAAGTGCAATTGTTTTACAAAAAAGAGATTTCTCAATTGCAGCATATGCCACAGCCAAGCTACTAATTATTTTGTTCTACAGTTGTCCTTCTTGTGTTGTCTGAAAAGAATAAATTGTAAAGAGGTATTTCTCTTAGAAACTTTTTGCCCATAATAGAAACATTTGTTGCCTTTGCTCCTCTGTAAGAATAAAAGCTATTCTTGTGCTGTTACAGAAACTTCTCACTCTCAATGTTTCTTAATTAAAAGTTTGCATTTTAATTAAAAAATAGGTTTTATTATATGTATAGGAGAAACAGCAAGAAACATGTAGATGTTTAGCAGATAATGTACCTATAAAAGAAGGTAAGACCATCCGGATTTGTTCTGTAGTTGCTATCATTTCTTTCCCCCCCCACTAATGTACTCTCTTCTTGTTTGCTTAGGTGCAGGTATACATTTTCACTGAAATAAATATTAAAACTGGTGTACCTTTAGGGTCAGCAACATCGACAAAAACTTCTTTTTATCTCCAATCACCATAGCATTACTAACAACTGGGAGTTCTTTTTTAACAGCATCTTCAATTGGAATGGGAGGCACGTTTTCACCTCCAGCTGTAATAATCAAATCTAGGCAAAAAAAGAAAGGCTATTAGTTGAATTCAAACACACTCTGAACACCAGGTTGATATCTGGATCAACCCACTTTTCTTATTCTGACATAAAGAGTAACAGGTTTTTTTCAAATATAATGTTTTCAAAGGGAACAAAGCCTATTCATTACTTTCAAAAGAAAAAAGCTAGTACTTTTCAAATATGTGCTCAATTATCAGTTGTCCCTCAGTATAACATATTTCCCCAGACAATTTTTTACAAAATCTAGTTAGAGGTCAGTAATTCTCAGGGTACTGTTGTATAAACTAGAATTTTTCTGTGAGCAATCATCTCTTCCAAAGTAGCACTTGCATTTCACTCTCTATTTTGCTGTTTACAGCTCACCAAAAAGCAAGTTTTGGTGAGCTATCAACATGACTAAAACAAATTCTTAAGGCCACCAAGAGGGGTCAGACAAAAACAAGTTACTACTGTAGGAAGGCTCCATAAAAATTACACAGAAAGACATGGAAACAACATGGGGGGGAGAGGAGTGTGAGGAGGGACAATTAAAGACCTAAGAGAGGAATGTTGCAATGGAAGTAATGATTCCTGCTCTACTTTTGACAGGAGAGGAATACAACACCAGACTAGAATCTTAAGTGTTTTTCAGATTTGAAAACAATTGTAGTGATACCTTATTCTACTGGTAAAGAATGGTGCATTTTTATTTGAGTACATTCATTCTGAAGTGTAATACAGCTATTAAGCTGAATTATTCCAAATTCGAGTATTATCTAAGTAAATTTCAACTCTTTGCTGTGACTTCTAACTGTTCTCAAAGAATAGTCTTTGCAGCATTGCAAAACTGCAGACAAATGGTGCACCAGTCCCTTGTGTAATAAAGCAGCTGACTGCATGTATTAATTATCGTGCTGGTACCTAATTCCCTGTCAGTGATAAACTTGAATTTAGATGCACTCCAGGGAATACAGCACCTTTCAGCAGGTTTGGGCCTTACCATCCCTACTCCTCTACTGCCTCATGAGAACTATGACTAGAAATAACTTCCAGTCCATATGCAACCTTCTGGTATGGAACAGGCACACATCACATAACTAGAAAAATTCTTTCTCTCCCTGGTCAACACACTGCACAGATGTGAGGAAGCACAAGTAGTGTTTATAGAATCAGAGACTTCTATCAAACCACAGATACATTCCCAGGTTAGCTGTGCATCCAAACTTGCAAGAGGTCTTTTATTTTCCCCCTTTCATTCCCCCTTAGTTATTGCCTTAGTTCTGCCTTTGTCTTAGAGCCTCTACAAATGTCTGGCACTCAGTTTTTCATTGTGTGAGATGTTGGCTTTTTCCCAGCTGATCCAGTCAACTTTTAATAGTTCTAAAAACTTTTTCCACACTTCTACAAATACTCCCCCTGTATGGACTTCTCCAGCTGCATCTTTGTGCTTTGCAGCTAATAGGTCCTGAAACTTTTAAGACCCCCAGATCCAAAGGAAGAAGCCCTGTTTCAGTCACTAGAAGAAAGGCTTCTTTGCTACCTTCTATTAGATTTTACTTTATTTGGACCTGGATTTAAAACTTAATGAAAGCTGACAGACAGGTATTTTATCCCAGATAGCCTACCTGTCCTGCAATTTAGAGTTACTGTTATTAGTTCTGCAATCAAGGAAGATATAAATGAAACACAAATGCTATGACAGAATGGGACTAGGAGTTGCTAACTGCTATGCTCAAGGAAAATGAATCAGACAAGAAAGCAAGTTAAAACCAAAATAGCTGCATTTGGTGCAGGCTATTAATAGTATCTACTTCAGTCCTGACTCCTAACAGGACACTCTGTCATCCTATGACAAATTCACTGATCCATGTTCTCTCCCTACTGATTCATTGTATATGGTAAGACAACAGTTACTCAGTTTTTAAATCTTCTTCATTACATCTCAACTGTGACCAGTTCCACTCTCTGAATATCTATCAGAGAATCATTAAGGTTGGAAAAGACCTCTCAGATCAAGTCCAACCACCAACGCAACACCTCCGTGCCAACTGAACCACGCCCCGAAGTGCCACGTCCACATGTTTTTTGAACACCTCCAGGGATGGTGACTCCACCATCTCCCTAGGCAGCCTGTTCCAGTGCCTGACCACACTTTCAGTAAAGAAATTGTTGCTAATACCCAATCTGAACCTCTTCTGGCACAACTTGAGTCCATTTCCTCTCATCCTATCACAGGTTCTGTGGGACAAGACACCAATCCCCACCTCACTACAACCTTCTTTCAAGTAGTCAGAGAGAGCAATAAGGTCTCCTCTCAGCCAGCTGGATTTAACTGCATTCACTGCAGTTCTCTGGGCTTGGCTGTGATGGTGAGTGACAAAAAGCTTCCAGGTAAGCAATGAACAGCCTTGCCCACTTAAGCCTCCAAGCCATGTACTGTAGTAATACCTAGGTTTATGGCTTCAGCTTTGCTTCTGCTCTCAGGGTTCTACACTAGTCTCTGCAAACACATCACCTAAGGCACCCGAAGAACCTGGCTCTCACCCACAGCCACAACTTCTATATAACTGAGGGTTGTCTCTCCTTACTGTCTAAACATTCTAATGTGTAATTAAGACAATTTAGCAAGATTCAAAGGGAGACTGGAAAGCTTAATATAATATTAGAATCAATGAAGACACATGAAACCTGCCTTACTATTTTATATGACTAATTGTAATTAATTAAGTTCTAGGAGATTAAAAGCCTCACAGCAGGAACTGTATCATCTCCACCTATTACAGACTAGAGGGGAACCTTTCTTGAATAAGGCACATCATGGCTTCCTCATAGGGAAGTTTATCTTCCTATTGGGTCCTTGCTGCTCGCATAAGGGGAAAGACACTTTAGATGGGTCACAACTGACAGCTGATTGAACAGTTACCACAAACATAGAGCAAGATTTTGCTTATTACCTTTAATTCTTCCAGTGACATAGAGAAAGCCATCCTTGTCTAGTTTTCCTAAATCTCCAGAATGCAGCCACCCCTCCTCATCAAAGGCTTCTTTTGTTTTGTCTTCCATATTTAAATAACCCATGAAAACAGTCCTTCCCCAGAAACAGATTTCTCCATTGCCTTCCACATCTTCATCCACCAATTTCACCCTGCAGCCAGGTGCTGGTTTACCACAGCTATTGGAGAAGGGCATTAAAAATCACAAGGAGCACAGAAACATTAAATATAATATTGATCAGACATCTTAACATGCCAAATCTCTGAACTGATAAAAATACCAGTGACTGTAAATAACACCCTGCTGTAACTGCCTGAAAGTCACGTAGTATTAATTCACTAGGGCAGATATATTAGAGTATCCAATCACTTTTTGGCTATCTTGCCTTGTGCTTCCTGGCTTTCCCCCCCCCTCTCTGTATCTTCAGGCATAAAAACACTTTTATGTTTGAGGTCTTGCACTTGAAATGACCCTACCCCTTGGACCAAGACTCGGATCTATGTCAGATTTAGTCACTGTATTCTGCATATAACCCTGCAGAGCCACTTCCAGTGCTCTTGGGCTGGCATGCTATGGGGGCAATCTGTCTATCTCCTGACCTGGAAGTTATTCTGCTTCCCAAATTTACAACTGAGAGAAAATAAAATAAGCAGTAAGATCTTTGCTGAACTTAGAAAATACTCTTGTCACAGATACAATGAACATACCATAAAAAAAAAAAAAACCAAACCAAAATAACCAAACAATAAAATTACCTGTGCTGCCTGTAAATATAAGGCCCAGAGAGGCAATGTGGGCCTGTGGTCTCACTCATCCCATAGGCCTCATACAGGGTTATGTTCAGACCCAAGAAGAAATACAGTGTTTCTGTATTGAGAGGAGCAGCACCAGAAAAGTGCTTCTGACAGCAAGAAAACCCCAGCGCGTTCCGTACTTTTGCAAGCACTAAGTAGTCTGCTAACCTTGTCCAGAGCTGCTTTAAATCACTGCTGAACACAAAACACACAAGAGCAGGAGACAGCAAGTCAGAGCAACGTAGGAAATTTCCAAGACAAATTCAGACACAAATTTTCTTCAGAGATACATTTGCCATTTGATTTTCAGTGTTAACAGACATTACAACAGTAAGAGCAGGTTACATACTTCTCCTTTTTCCATCCATTCAGTTTCTTCCATTACACTTTCAACAGTCACCTGTGTTCAAGATCAGCCTACTCTAATTGATAACTACACCTCTCCTCTTGTATCATATTTGTTGTGTTGCCAGTCCAACTTTTAACTGTTTCCATTTAGAGACTCACTGATGCTACACAGTTTATTACAAGCAGGTGATACTTTCAGATGGATGGAAAACTCACTCATTACAATACATACCTCCTTGAGCAGTTTAGGTTTCTCTCTAAGCTAAGTGACATAGCCCAGGACAGCATTTTCTTCTTCATAAATCCTGACTGAGCAGAGGCATCCTTTAACTTCTCCATGATTTTCTCCCATACTCGAGGAACTCCCATGTGAGATGTTGGCTGCACTTCCTTTAGTGTGTCGATCAAGCTGCCCTGTTAGAATCATTCAATCATTTCAAACCGTTGCAAAAGGTCCACAGCAGTGATAGAGGTTTGGTTATGCAGCCTGCACCTTGCAATGCCAACATGTAGAACATTACTAAGCAGGTAGGATATAAAGAACTGCTGAACATGCTTCAGA